GGATTACTGTGGCGTATTGAAGAAAAAAATATTTCCGTTTTTGAAATACTAAACCTGCAATAACGAAATTTGGTATACATGCTTCGTTTGTTGAATGGAAATTTGTAAAGAACGGGTCTTACTGAAATCAACCCTCAAAGAGGTTTACGGGACTTATTGATAAAAAAATATTTCCGTTTTTGAACTGTTAGAATTAAACTCTAACTGTGGCAACCATTTTTATTTTGTTGAGTATAGATCCAAAAAAAATGGGTTTTGCGAAAATCCCCTTTGGGTGTGTGTGCCGGGCGGCCGAGCGTATTACGGGAGCGTAAAAGATAGTTCTACTTCAGTTTTAGATATTATTAATTAGAAATTCTGTTCTTTTTTAACACACTTTTGTAAGTTTCACATGTATGTAACGGAATCTTGAACTCAATTTTTACCTTCTTTAAAAGGTCAGATTAATTCGAAATTTTTCTCACTTGTCCAGGACCGATGACAGTACAATAATTTAATAATTTTGTTCTATTGTCCTGATCAGGATTATCAGGATTATCGATTTCTCCCATTTTCAGATCCCAACCTGCATCTGCCGACTAATTTCAGATTCCATTTCTAGACATGGCGACTAAAAGCTTAAATTACTACTTAGTTCGATTAACTCTAAAAGCAGGGGCGTAGCTACCGCCGTATAAAAAATACGGGACCCCAAGCTTCAGGGGCCGCAACATGTATATGCAAAATATCCTAAACTATTAAGGAGCTTCAAAAAAAGGGCCCCCGAGAAATTTTGATACCAGGCACACCAAGGACTAGCTACGCCACTGTCTAAAAGAGTGTTTTTAGTTTTTTTAAACTATAATTTATTTAAATCAAGAAGGAGAGTTATAATAATGTCTTTTAATACAATCAAACGATTATTGATAGGACTTGGATATCAATAATTTATATAAATATAAACAGTATATATTCATACAACATTATGAAATACGCAGCGAAGCGGGTGGGTTTTTTTAAAAAATGCGATTTTTTTTTTTCAAATTGAAGTGTTAGGATTACTTTCGGAAGTTTTAAAAGCATTTTTTTTCCTAAATGTAACGTAAAGTACAAGCTTATGAACTATATAATTTATCATTTATTTATTATTCTTATCAATGCAACTGCATTTTTTAAATTATTTAAGGTATCCGACTACGTTCGGAACCGTGGATAATAATCCGTATAAATGAATAACATTAATGATTTTTAGTGTCACTTAGATTAGAAAATGTATACAAAATTATTTTAAGAATAGTATTACAATAAAAAATTATCTAAGTACAATATTTTGGAAAAATGAACGTAGAATGACCCATTTTCAAAAAATTCTGCTTTTGTGAAAAATGTTTCTATTATAATAATATTTCGCTTGTATATAGCTCAGACCTTTGTACAGAGGCTCAACTAGAATTTT